CTTTATATATGGACAACATTTAATGTTTAATAGTAATAATATTTATTGTACCTGTAAACTATACCATGAATGAAAAGAAATATAAACATACAGTAAATAACACATAGTGGGCTTTAATATATCAAAGTGACTAGATGACTGGCAGCCGGCTATCTAGTAAACTGCCGGCTATATAATGACTATAGTTACATATAAAAACATTTGTTTGCACTAGTTTTACTGAACTTGCTGTTAGCGCATACGGCAAAGGCGCTAAGTGAAACCCAGCCGGGGTCGGTTTGTGTTTTTAACGTCTGACTTAGCATATTTTTTTCTTAAAATTTTTTCAACTTTTAATTTTCTCCACCAACTCTCAAAAGGTTAGGGTTAGAGGAGGGTTTGGGGTTAGGGAACAGTTTATCTTATAAGGTTAGAGGAGGGTTTGGGGTTAGGGAACAGTTTATCTTATAAAAATTCAACTTTAATTATAGTCACTATATAGCCGACAGTTTACTAGATAGCCGGCTGCTGGTCATCTACAATCTTTGCCAGAAACCATGGGACAGCTGCTGTAATTTCATATAATTTGAAAGGAATAGCACCCCCCGTTCCCCTAGCCTGCGAACAGGCTCTCAAGCTGAATTGAGAGCCTGCATCGATGACTAATGAATTTGAATATCTGCGTCTCAAATCGTGACGCGAAATTCTCATTGGTCAGATGCTATAATTTATACGTTTCCGCTGAGCTCTATATATGTCAACTGTAGCACTGTGCATAAAAAACACATTAACTGATCAAATTGGTCTTGGCCATCTTATCTCAAAGCACGAAATGTTCTGTTTTGAGAAAACAGTATTTAAAACATTTGAACTTTTGCTTGAATATCTTATATTTCGAAAAACAGTATAAACTGTACAGTCTAAATTTAGTTTGCACAGTCTAAATTTAGTTTGCACGAAAGTTGTAAACAACACCATATAAGGATAGACATCCCATATTTGGAAAAACGAACGTTACGGGGCAGATATTCAAATTCATTAGTCATCGATGCAGGCTCTCAATTCAGCTTGAGAGCCTGTTCGCAGGCTACCGTTCCCCCAATGCAATGTTGGGCCAACAAAAATCTGATGTCTGGATGCGCGGTGCCAACATTGAAACAGGTGGGGGAGGGAGGGTGGAAAATATGTATCAGGAAATGGTATACCGGGTGGCGCAAAAAAAAGTACAACTGTTTGATTACTTGTAACTCAGAAACAATAAGCAGTAGAACCATAAATCGAGTTTAATTGCATCCAGCGATATCTAACTTAAATTTTGGTATATTTGACAGGCATATTCGTCCAAGATTAACTGAGATATAAGAGTTTAAACTTTTGTTAACAATTTTGAAACAGTCACAAATTAGCTAAAAATCAGTTTAATAGGCCGTTTTTAGCTAATTTGTGACCGTTTCAAATTTGCTAACAAAAGTTTAAACACTCATATCTCAGTCAATCTTGGACGAAAATACCTGTCGAATATACCAAAATT